ATAAATGGTTATAATTGTCAATGAAACTACTTTAAAATAAAAAATGAAAAAAAATTTAAAACTGAAAATTTACCAGAAAAAAATTTACAAATATAAATGTTAATTATTGTTATTATCAGTCGTCAGCAAATAGCGGCAGCGACGTTGGTAGAAGCAGCAACAACTCGCGTCCGCGTAAAAACACAAATTTACGTTAACTTCTTAGCAAAGGAAAACCACAAATTTACGTTAACTTCTTAGCAAAGAAAAATTAATTTAATAAATTTACGTTAAATTGCTTGCAAAGGTTAATTTACGTTAAGATTATCGCTTTTTAAATTGAAAGACACTTGCAAAATTCGCAAAAATCGCATTCGGCACACGGGCAATAGTTTTGCTTACGATGGTTAGTCTTAGACTAAAGACATAACTGAACATTTAAAGCGCTGTAAAGTGTTGCCCGCCAATTTACGTGCACGGATTTTCGGTCCTTTTACTCCAATTTCCCTTCTCTTTTGGCGCATAAAAATGCACTAAGAGAGAAAATGCTAGGAGCAAAAAGCCCTCCCTCCCGCACCCTTTCTATTGTTTTAGCAATTTAAATCATACATTAACCTGATCGGAACTAGGTAAATCAAACTGGTAGACCAATGAATTGGTGTTAGGGTAGAGCCAAAAAGGGGCACAAAATTAAATCGTTTATTATTTAGTAGAGTAAGTTAGCCGCGCACTGTGCTCTCTTTTAGCGTTGGCAGCGCGTTTTATTCTCATTATTTTGTTCCGCTTTGGTTTAGCCAGAGCCAAGGCAGAGAGAGCAAAACATAAAACAGACTGAAAACACTTAATTAATGTATGTTCGTTAAGCATCAACAAACAACAAAATAATAGCAATAAGTAAATTGGACAGAGGAGAAAAGGACAAATAGTTTAAATTGTTGAATATTCAATAGAATAAGAGAGCCGCGCACTCTGCTCTCTCCTTGCGTTGGCAGCGCTTTACATTATAATTTTTTTGTCACGCTTTCGTTTCAGCTTGCGCCGAGAAAGAGAGCAAAACATACATAGTTTAAAACAGTTGCATATATTCGCCGCGCAATTCAGTTTGCAACTATTTACACGCAAACATATCGCATCGCTCAATTAGTTCGCGGCCCGACATATAAGGAGCAGTAGTAAGCAAATATAGATATTTTTTATCGAAAGTGTCGATTATCATAAGCTCTGTGTAAAAATTATACAACTCTGTGACCACGTGCTTTTAAGTTACAAATTTTTAAGTAACACAACCTTTGGGTTTTTCTACAATATGGAAGAAAAGGAGTTTCGTGTCCTGATTAAGCACTGTTTTTTGATAGGAAAAAATACAGTAGAAGCAAAAGCTTGGCTTGATAAACATTACCCAGATTCTTCTCCGGGAAAATCAACCATCAAAGATTGGTACAATGAATTTAAACGTGGTCGTGTGGTGGTCGCCCAAAAACAGCAGTTACGCCAGAAAATGTGGCAAAAATCCGAAAAATGGTATTGGCCGATCGCAAATTGAAATTAAAGGAGATAGCTGATGCCTCAAAGATATCGGAAGGCAGTGTGTTTACGATATTACATGAACATTTGGACCTGAGAAAGCTCTGCTCGAAGTGGGTGCCGCGATTGCTAACACCGGACCAAAAGCAACAACGCATCGATGCTTCCGAGACGTGTTTAAGCATGTTGAAGCGCAATAGGACCGATTTTTTTCGCCGTTACGTAACCATGGATGAAACCTGGATACACCACTGTACTCCAGAATCCAGTCGTCAGTCTTCTGAGTGGGTGGTAGCCGGTGAAAGCCGTCCGAAGCGTCCCAAAACACAAATATCGGCGGGTACGATTATGGCTTCTGTATTTTGGGATGCACATGGGATTTTATTTATAGACTACCTAGAAAAAGGTAAAACAATAAACAGCGAATATTATATAAAACTGCTGGATCGATTGGATCGCGTTATCAAGGAAAAACGTCCACATATGGCCAAGAAGAAACCACTGTTTCACCAGGATAATGCACCATGCCACAAGTCTATGGCAACAATGGTGAAATTGAGTGAATTGAGGTTCGAACTTCTGTCGCACCCACCTTATTCTCCAGATATGGCCCCCAGTGACTACTGGCTTTTTTCAGATCTCAAATAGCACCTCCAAGGCAAGAGATATCGATCAAATGAAGAGGTGATTGTCGATACTGAGACCTATTTTGAGGGTAAAAGTTCATCTTTCTACAAAAATGGCATAGAAAGGTTGGAGAAGCGCTGGACTGAGTGTATAGCCGTAGATGGAAACTATATTGATGAATAAAACAAAATTTTCAAAAAAAAAGTGTTTTTCCTTGTTAGGCCGGGAACTTATTGAGCGGTGTGATACATATGTAAATATATGTCATTATCTGGCCCTGACGTCATTGCTTTTCCTAACTCCTTGGGAAATTTGTAAGCGTTTTATGGGACAGCCTATAGGTATTGGTTAAAACAGTGCATGTGCATATCTGATAAAAGACATACAAGAACGATTTACAGAGCTGTAAAGTTTTACGTGCCAATTTTACGTGCTCGGATTTTCGGTCCTTTTACTCTAACCTTTCGTCTCATGTGGCCCATGTGAGTGCACTGCGGTAAGAGAAATTGCGAAGAGCGAGAAGCCCTCCCCCGCGACCACACCATTGTTTTTCAGAAATGTAAACCTTAATTAGGTAAATTAAATTGGAAGAGATTAGGGGAGTCCAATAGGAAAAAAAAATAGTTAATACTGTTAAATTTTTTAAATTATTTAATAGGATAAGTTAGCCGCGCACTCCTCTCCGTCTAAGAGCCGGCACCGATTTTCGTTATCATACTTTTTGCCCGGCTTGTGTATGTTTCTGGCAGCGCCAAGAAAGAGAGAGCAAAACATAAAATAGGCTTAAAACATTTAAGTTGTTCAATGAAATATTTGGTCGAATATCTTTCTTCGGAAAAGTTCTTATTCGCCGCGCAATTCAGCTTGCAACACACACATGCATAAATACATTTGTCATTGTATGGCTCTGACGTCATTGCTTTTCTTTTTGGGAGGTTTGCTAGAATCTTAAGAATATACATGCTTAATCCTTTCAAGCTTTTAAAGTTTACTTTCAAACGAACGTTTTTGGGTGGCTTGGAGGCGGTTTGTTGTAGGCGTGGCAAACTTTTTTTGGATCAATCGATAGGTATTGACAAGACTAATACATTTCAGTTAAAATCTAGCATAAAAATTGTGGGCGCCACCGGTTTGGCCGGTTTGTGGGCGTTAGAGTGGGCGTGGCATGTTTGCGTAACAAACTTGCGCTGCGCTCGAAACTACGGAATCTAAATCTGAAATCCCAATTCTGTATCTTTGATAGTTTCCGAGATATCCGCGTCCATACTTCCGATTTTTTGAAGTTTGTGGGCGGTTTGTGGGCGTTAAAGTGGGCGTGGCAAACTTTTTTTAAGTCAATCGATAGGTATTGATGAGAAGAATTAAAATTTTTATTCTAGCATCAAAACTGTAGGAGCCACAGTTTTGGGCGGTTTGTCGGCGTTTGAGTGGGCGTGGCGCGCTGCTGAAACAAACTTGCCCTGCATAAGAAGCTCAGGAATCTATTTTCCCACCAATTTTCCGATCGTTGATAAAATTTAATTCGAAATTCAGAACTAATTAAAATATGTTATTTCTAAGCTTAGGAGGTTATATGTACGTTAAATAAAACCAAAGATATATTTTTTTTAAATTTTTTGCGATTATTCCTATTGGAGCTATAAGACATAGTTGTCCGATCCGTCTACGCAGACTAGTCCCTCAATTTTTAAGCTATCGGGCTGAAACTTTCCCAAAAATTTTATATCTTTTGCAGGTAGTATATAAGTCGGAACCAGCCGGATCGGACAACTATATCTTACAGCTCCCATAGGAATAATCGAAAAAAAAACTTTAAAAAATTATATCTTTGGTGTTTTTTAACATATAACCCCCTAAGCTGAGAAATAACATTTTTAATTAGTTTTGAATTTCGAATTAAATTTAAACAAAATCGGACGACTATAGCATAAGCTGCCATAGGAACAATCGGAAAATTGGTGGGAAAATAATATGAAACAAATTATAGCTTCGGTGTTTTCTAACACATAACCTCCTACGCTTGGAAATAACATTTTTTATTTAGTTCTGAATTTCGAATTTAATTTTATCAAAATCGGACGACTATATAATATAGCTGCCATAGGAACGTTTGGAAAATTGGATGGAAAATAATATGAAACAAGTTGTAGCTTCGGTGTTTTTTAACATAAAACCTCCTACGCTTGGAAATAATTAGTTCTGAATTTCGAATTTAATTTTATTAAAATCGGACGACTATATCATATAGCTGCCATAGAAACGATCGGAAAATTGTTGGGAAAATAATATAAAACAAATAATAGCTTCGGTGTTTTCTGACATATTATCTTATACTATTGGGAATATCATTTTTTGTATTTTTAAATTTAATAATTATAACTGCAAGGCTATACAAGCTTCGGCTTGCCGAAGATAACTTCCTTTCTTGTTAATTAAATTTTTTGTTAATACTAATAATGTTAATATTAACATGGTGCTGTTTGGGATGCGCAGATCTCACGGTGCTGTAAGCGAATCGATTACAGTTTTAGACTGATATTAATCAGTGAAAATAATACGTTCTGCTGCGTACGGTATACAGATGTTGATTTTGTGAATAGGGCAGTACACCACGACGAAAAGAAGTAGTATCCGAAAGAAAGCCCATTTTGTGCATATTTAGATTAACTAGAAAGACGCATTGGTCCTCCTTCTGGAAAATGCACAACATCCAAGGAGGGCTTAGATCTCTGCTTATGAATGAATTGGCACACTTTTATTGAATGTGACAAAAATTCCTTCCGGGTAACAGTCTGATAATACTGCGAATCATCGATAAAATTTCACAACACATTCCCAAAACTGAACTTTCTTGTCCTTGTTTTTTTTAGAGCCAGAACTTTTTGAAGATGACCTTTTTGGAGAACCTTCTCAACCAGTCGAGCAGATTAAAAAACCTTCAGACGTAATCATCGCTGATGATTCTGACGAAGATGACATTATTAATTGTAACAACATTCCTTCGCCTGCCCCATCGTTTATAAATTCAGTTGTTGATGAGAAAGATGGTAAGAATTAAATTTATTTTTTAAAACATTAAATATTTAAAACAAATTTGTATAAATCTATTAGAAACTAATTTGCCAGAACCATCCAATGTGTCTGATAATGTGCTAATAAATGAAGTAACTCTTATTCCAAACGAGGATGAGGGATTTGCATTAGCTCCTCTTGATGCAACCATTTATAGGGGCGTGACAAAGGCGAAGCGTAAGAGAAAACTTATTATTGACGAAATCAAAAATATTTCTGGAGAAGAAATGAAGGCTCAATTGGCAGATACTTCTGATATATTAACAACACTGGATCTGGCTCCACCTACAAAAAGGTATTAATTTAAGGTTATGATAAGTATAATATTGTATTGACCCGTTATTTTCAGGTTAATGTATTGGAAAGAAACAGGAGGCGTTGAAAAACTGTTCTCATTACCATCAAGATCCATACCTGCCAGGTCCTTACTTACTAATTACAACAGACAGTTGTTTTCACATTCAACATTCTTTGAAGACTTTTCAAGTGTTGCTCCTATGGAAATTCTTGCACTGGAATTTTATGCTCAAGAAAACGAAAATTCATTAATTATTTTTAATAAAAAAGGACGCAAACGTAAAAACGATCTTTCTTCCCATCAGTTTTTGGACCATGTAGCAGATTCACTTATTCAAAGCCTAGAGACCCCTGAAACCTTAAGAGAAGATAAGAAACCTCTAGGGCTGTCTGCCGTTTCTTTGGACATTGCAACAAAAGACCAAGAAAGTATTGCTTGTCAAAACGAATCAACTCTTTTTGATAATGTGCGAAGTCCAGACTTATTATCCTTAAATGAAATGGAACAATTTTCATCAATAAATGAACTGCCATTAACACCAAGAAACACAAATCATGACATGGGGGATGATTTTAATCAAGGAGACTCAACGCCAGCTGGATTGGATCATGGCCAAACAAGCCCGCAGCAATCAAATATTGTCGAGATGGATAATATCCCAATTATACCTACAGATCAAATTAGCGCAATTTTAAATGAATCTATTGAACGGCCTTTATTAAATGACATTGGATTTTTAAAAAAAACAAACAATATTCTAAAAGGATGGAACAACTATGATGTTCCAACTTTTGTTGGTCAGGTATGTTCGTCAAAATAGTGTAAGGCTGTATAGGTTATTGCATGTACCCATCGTATATGGATCACAAACATTTTTGGGATACTTCTCACAACACAACCATAGTAGTTTTTTATCTAAAGCCATTCATTAAGGCTTTCCAAGCCTGTGCCCTCGTTAGAAAGTACAACACAAGTAAAAGGAAGCATATCCGACCCCATAAACCATATATATTCTTGATCCGTCTGTTCATGTGAACGCTTTGATCTCGGAAATTATAAGAGCTAGAGGATTGAGGTTTCAGTCTTTTTTTTTGTACACAGCGCAAGTTGTTTGGTACGTGAACATGATACGCCCACTCTGACTCCCACAAACTTAAACAAATCGTAAATTTGAACGCTGATATCTCGAAAACTATCAACGATTTCATATTTAGATATCTCAGCTTTGTACGCAGCGCAAGTTTATTACGCGAACACACTAAGACCGCCAAAAACTGTGGCGCCCACAATTTTCCCGCTAAAAAATAAAATTGAACTGAACTGTATGTGTCTCGTCAATAACTATCGATTAAACTAAAAAAAAGTTTGACACGCACATAACGCAAAAATCTGTCTGCCGCCATATCATCATGTATTGAGATCTCTGGTAGGTGGCGCATTACAATCTCGCCTTGCTGCCATTTCCTTTAGCTGAGTAACGGGTAACTGATAGTCGGGGTGCTCCACTATAGCGTTCTTCCTTGTTTTTTGTTAAATCCACTTATTACAATAGATTTCAAAGCGAGCAGGTTTATGGGAGGCGATCTTCGATCTTAACAAAACCAGGTTGACACGGTGACATAAGCCAGGAACAAACATTTTGGAAATAAAAAGTAAAAATGCGGTTTAATGCTTTAGGAGTTGCAGACAATTTAGAAATTTATGAAGCACATTGGTAATCCAAGGAGGTCTGTTAGGCTTCGCAGGAAGTGTATTAGGAACGCATTCATTGAAAAAAGAGTTTAAGACGCTTGTGACTAAACGATTAGACGGATCTAAAACAAATACAAGATCTAATTGTCTCTTCAGTGAATTACGTATAAAGCTTGCTTGCTGCTATGATATTTCTTACAGACCATCAACAAGGTCATGGAAAGATAAAGTTGTAGACACAAGTGAGTGATTGGGAGGGGGCCAAGAAATATCAGGCTGATTAAAGTCACACAAAACAATCAAGGGATCCGTTGGATAGGTGAGATAAAAGAGGATTTATTGCAGACAAATGGTACACAGAGAAAATAATACACCAAAACTGGTCATCATTTGGGTATTTTTATACGCGTTACTCGTAGAGTAAAAGGGTATACTAGATTCGTCGGAAAGTATGTTAGTAAGTTTGCCACGCCCACTTTAACGCCCGCAAGCCGTCCACAAACTTCAAAAAATCGTTAATATGAACTCGGATATCTCGGAAACTATCAAAGATAAAGAATTGGGATTTCAGATTTAGATTCCGTAGCCTTGTTCGCAGCGCAAGTTTGTTACGCGAACATGCCAAGCCCACTCTAACGCCCACAAACCGCCCAAGCCTGTGGCGCCCACAATTTCCATGCTAGAGAAAAAATTATAACTGAAATGTAGTAGTCTCGTCAACAAATTTCTATTGACCTATAAAAAGGGGCCACGCCCACAAACCGCCCAAGTCTGTGGCGCCCACAGCTTTCATGCTAGAAGAAAATGTTACTGTAATGTATTAGTCTCGTTAATACCTATCGATTGACCCAAAACATTTGCCCGGCGCATAACGCTAAAAACTGTCTGCCGCCCACATAGCCGTATATTGGGATAGCGGGTGGTGGCGCATTACAATTTCGCTTTGCTGCTTGCATATCTCCATTTCCCTTTGGTCCCTTAAGCTGGGTAACGGCTACCTGTTAGTCGAGGCACTCGACTAGAGCATTTATCCTAGTTTTAGTTCAAACAGATAGAGGCATATCTTGTTGAAAATTTAAAAAAAATGTTTAATCTTTATCTTAAAAATGTCGTCATTTTTATACCCGTTACTCGTAGAGTAAAAGGGAATACTAGATTCGTCGGAAAGTATGTAACAGGCAGAAGGAACCGTTTCCGACCTCATAAAGTATATATACTCTTGATCAGGATCACTAGCCGAGTCGATCTAGCCATGTCCGTCTGTCTGTCCGGATGAACGCTGAGATCTCGGAAACCATAAGACCTAGGCTATTGATATTTGCAGATTTGCGTGCAGATTCCTGAGCTTCTTACGCAGCGCATGTTTGTTTCAGCAGAGTGCCACGCCCACTCTAACGCCCACAAACCGCCCAAAACTGTGGCTCCTACAGATTTGATGCTAGAATAAAAATTTTAACTGAAATGTATTGTTCTCATCAATACTTGTCGATTGACTCAAAAAAAGTTTGCCACGCCCACAAACCGCCCACAAACTTCAAAAAATCGTAAATATGAACGTGGATATCTCTGAAACTATCAAAGATAGAGAATTTGGATCCTAGATTTAGATTCCGTAGCCTTGTACGCAGCGTAAGTTTGTTACACGAATATGCCACGCCCACTCTAACGCCCACAAACCGTCCAAACCTGTGCCGCCCACAATTTTCATGCTAGATAAAAAATTTTAACTGAAATGTATTGGTTTCGTCAACACCTATCGATTAATAAAAAAAAGTTTTCCACGCCCACTTCAAAAAATCATAAATATGAACGCGGATATGTTATTAATTATTTCGCTTGCGAATAATTAAAAAAAATTTATTTTTATTATTTATTCACTAAGTTACAAGTTTACAACTTTTCCTTAATACCGACTTTTATTCTACTGTTCACAATATTTTCTATTCAATCGATCTTCTCGGTTGCAAAAACGGATTGCCTGGCCAAGGGCCGATTATCTGATAAACAAACCTATGTTTAAGAGAATTGGGGAACTCATTAAGAGTTGGACTCAAGAGAGTCGGGAAATCGGATGATCAAATTCTCTGCTCGATTGCTAAACGGATTACGCTGCAGTTTTGGGGCTCGCCGGGTGTTGACCGGATGCTTTTGTTTACATTAGCTGGACCCAGCTTAGTTTATGTTAGGAGGACTGCGGCGCAATTAAATCTTAATAATGAACTTCGATTGAAGTGAGGGAACTAATTGGGATTCTTTGGGAACGCTGAGTAAGGAGATCCCAGCTAAGAATTGTTTATAAGAAATTGTTTACGACTTGGGTAAGGCGGCTGGGCGCTCGATCTGGAAAACGTTCTCAGCTAAGAATTGTATATGAAGAGTTTGTTTATAAATTGGGTAAGGAGGCTGGGATCATGAGCTGGATAACTTGCAGAATGAATATCCATTAAGAGATATTAGTTTTAGATTTCACAAAAAAATTAGGTTCAACGTACTCACGTGCTGTTCGATTGCAGCAGCTGAGTTTGACAGCTGTTATTTTAACAATGGCCTGTTAAGTTAAAATTTTCGTTATGTAACATAACATTTTGATCTGTTCTTAATTCGATAACATCAACTTTTCGCAATGTTGAATACTTTTGAAAAACAGATTTATGCCAAAAAAAACAGGGCAAAGTCCCCATAGTGCAATGCTACGACGGGGCAAATCCGCAGAATAGTTGAGCTGGAGGAGACCCACTAGAGAAGGAACATGCCGATTGGGACTTCGCTCGATCTCCGACGAGCTTTCCATTGAGGAACCACCGGACTCCACCTCCATCAGCTACTTGGCAGTTAAAGCGGAGATGGAGGACGCGCCGGCTTCTATGGGGAGAAGGAAATATGGTCGTCCGCTAAGGGACAGCTGAAAGTGCCATCACCAGCCATTACCAGGATGCTGGGCGACTCCATGCAGCATCAGGCGGAACAAGCCCGTTTCTAATCTGGCTCCTACTTCCTCAAGGTCCGTAAGCCTATTGGGATTCGGAGCTGGACTACATATGGCGCGGGAAAGATGGCGAAGCATCCGTGGGAAGAGAAAAAAGCTTTAAGATACTAATTTACATAAATAAAACATTCATTGAACATTCCATTTATTTTTATGTTAATTTCATTGTGCACCAGCAGACTCTTCTTTTTTAAGTTGCTCCAGTTCATTTTTTTTCGTTGATCAACAAACCCAGCTACTTGCCAGTAAGACCTTGTTACATGCATTGCGGGTAAACTTTGAAAACTTCGGTCACACTACAAACTCCTAGCTTAAACCAATAATGGTTAGTATCTGTAATATTTTGCTCACATTTTTATACCCTTGCAGAGGGTAAAATGATTTCAGTCAGAGATTGGCAACGCAGTGAAAGCATAGAGTAAGAATCTATATAGAGACACCATTTGCTCTGCCGCTCTCTTTTGAGACTTTGCCAATGATGCAACCTAGGCGAAAAGAGATAATATCTCTAGTTTTTTAAAAGTTTGATGGGACCTTGTAATTCCTTCCCGCGGTGAGTTTTATGGGAAATTGTATATCAGCACCGCTCTTACTCACTGTTTTGTTTTTGTAATTAATCCTCACCACTATTGCTGTTGATTCGCACTTGTTGGGTGTGTTAAAAAATCGAAGTTAGCTTCAAACTTGACCTTGAATTGGCTCTTAGCAGAAGTTGGGCAGAGATTCGGGCAGAGCAAATGGTGTCTCTATATAGATTCTTACTCTATGGTGAAAAAGACGTTTCCGACCCCATCTAACCATGTCCATCTGTCCGTCTGGCTGTCTGTCTGTATGTCCGTTTGAACGCTGAGATCTCAGAAACTATAAAAGCTAAAAAATTCGGAATCGGCATGCAGATTCTAAAGGTTCTGAGACTGCTTATTTCAGTAGGGTCCCACTGTAATGGTTTATTGACAAACGGAAAACAAATCGATTGGAACAATTTAAAAAAGACGAGTCTGCTGGTGTACAAATAAATTAAATTAAAAACAAGAGAGAACGCTATAGTCGAGTGTCTACAATTTTGTTTCAGCAAGTGGCATCTCTAACGCCCACAAACCGCCCAAAACTGTGACAGTTTTGATGCTAGAATAAATAAACTGAAATGTGTTGTTCTCATCAATACCTATCAATTGACATAAAAAAAGTTTGCCACGCCCACTTTAACGCCCACAAACCGCCCAAACCTGTGACGCCCACAATTTTCATCCTAATTAAAAAAATTTAACTGAAATGTATTGGTCTCGTCAATACCTATCGATTGCTCCAAAAAAAATTTGCCACGCCCACTCAAACGCTCATAACGCTTTGCTGCTTGCATATCTCAATTTAGCTGAGTAACGGGTATCTGATAGTCGAGGTACTCGACTACAGCGTTCTTCCTTGTTCATTCTTGAAATTTTGAATGTTCTTTGTAGACTAATTACTATTTACTACTTTGTAACTATTTCAACATTCGACAACACAAAATTTTTTTTTATATCCAAGTAAAAAATTAAAAAAAAATTGGCACCAAAATCAGATTAGGGATGTCGATTTTACAGACAATTCCCCATTTGCTATTGACAAGGATCCGTCTGACCATCTGTCTTGGAATCTGTATAAAAAAGCTTGATTCCGTACCTTCTGGTTCAGCACAAGTTTTTTAACCGAATGTGCCGCACCCACTCTAACGACCACAACGCTTAAGTTTGTCTAGCGTGCTCATTTTTAAATATTTTTCTGCATACCAATACTTATTATACGTATACGTATATGATAGTCGAGGCGCTGTAGTGTTCTTCCTTGTTAAATCTTTATTTGCAGAGTCAAAGTGTCCACTAATAAAAAATTATTTTGAACATTCTTTATTTACAGAGTCATAGTGACGAACAAATTATTTACACTCTAACATTTTATAAAATCGGACAATTCATTAAAGTTATGTCCGCCGCTAAATGGAGTAGTTTGCGAAATCGGAAATAGTCGCTATGGTTCCCACATTTTTGTAGCTAGAGAATTTAAATTTGACATTCAGATTATATTAGTGCCAATAAAGTCAATGTTTGCACTGGACGACCACTCTGAAGCCCGAAATTCCAATAGTTTGTGCACCTCCATTTTTGAAGATTTTACACTTTATTTTTTTTGTGAGTATCTATTGACTTGATAACTGTTGACTAAATCGAAACATTAGTTAGTAAGTTAAATTGGTTAGCTGAGTAACGGGTATATGATAGTCGAGGCGCTGTAGTGTTCATCCTTGTTAAATCTTTATTTGCAGAGTCAAAGTGTCCACTAATAAAAAATTATTTTGAACATTCTTTATTTACAGAGTCATAGTGACGAGCAAATGGAAAATGAGACCGACGAACAATTCGAAGAACGTGTGTTAAATAAGAGAGCCGCACAACTTTTTATTGACGTTCGAGCACAGTTTATCGATAAAGATAGTTTGGCTCTTTCCCAACTAACATTAGGAAACTCAAGAAAACAGGTAAAATGCCGCTTATGGCTATAACGAATAAGGCGACCACAATTTTTGTCTCCAAAAGTGTAAAAAGGGTAGGGGAGTGTAGGGTAAGGTGACGAGTAGGGTTAGGTGTCGAACTCGTTAAATCTTACATGTGACGTCACGTCCAAAATTCCAAATAATTGTAGTCGATATTTATTATTAAGAATTCGAGTAATTTGTTCGTGAGGTAATTTTGACTAAAAGTTTATAAAACCTATTCAATTTATAAGAGCTTCAGCAGTGCCATATCAAAAATCAAAGATTTGTGGAAAGTTCAGACAAATATATACACGTATTAATATGAGCTTAAGCAAAAGTTCTTTCTTTGCGCCTTATGAAAGTGGCACCATCATATTTATAACAGTTCCTTGTAGGGTATCGTGACGAATGAAGGCTGGGGTATAAAGATTGCTTTTTTTTTGGTATTTGTTGACATTACATAGTTACTTGTTTCTTTTATACAGCCGACATCTAAAAAAACTATAATTTTTTGTTGAATTTTGGGAACTAGAAATTGAACTACTCAATTTGTTCAATTTAAACCAAGAACTGAAGTAAACATTTTCCTAAGTGTACAGTTAAATTTGTATTCCATTATTGAACATTTTCAACTTTTCTTGAAGAAAAAATAAATTATTTTCACATCTGCATAGACTTTTAGTGTGTATTTATCAGTTGGTCACCTTCCCTACAACTTTTAAAAGTGAAAAAAATGGTGGTTTACGCCAAGAGCAATAGTATTTAACTCCGCTGGAATTTTACCATCGAACTTTTACGGGAATATGCTCATAGGATGTCAGCAACTTTCTTCTTTTAAACTTTTGAAAAATATTTATTTTTGGAAAAGTTCCATTAAAAAACGAATAGTTCGTCACCATACTCTAGATTCCCCTGTTTAATAGAAAACTATCTTACACATTAAAGGAATCGTTGTTGACAAAAATCGTTTTTAAGATTTTGACATACATTTAGTGTAAATTGAGATTGACTTTATTTGTGGACACCTTTTTTCATTACAAAAAACTTACCAATCGCGTCCTTACCGATTTCGATATTAACTTTTATGCCAGAGGTTTTGATCAAATAAATCTTTTCAATTTCCTTGGAGAATTTGCTATCTAAGCGCATCTTCTTGTTGACAATATTATTCACACTACGCCTTCCTACGCGCTACCATTAAATATTAGCTTCAAGCTATTTAAACTGTGCGCTTTTTATATCGCTACGTTTTCGGTCCTACTCTATACAAGCGCACTTCTTGTCCGGCCTTTCATTTGCTTAATAGAGGAGCAGAGGATGCACGAAAAATGGTTTGTTGGTTTTCTTCGGCTTATATGTTTTGGGGCTTAGGCATTTTACATCGTTGCAAGCGCTCGACTTTCTCAGATATTTTAGTGACTTAACTTGTAGTAATAGAATTATAAGCTAGCCTGAACAAAGAATTTAGATATTTTTTTTTTAATTATTACTAATACTTTTTTACCGTCGAAAAATCTGTATTTTTGTTGAAACATTTTTATTACTTCGTTTATTATACCCGTTACTTGTAGAGTAGAATAAAGTATGTAACAGTTAAAAGGAAGCGTTTCCGACCCTTTAAAGAAGTATATATGTTATTGATTAGGATCTCTAGCCTGACGATCTAGCCATTTCCCTCTGTCCGTATGGACGTTGAGATCTCGGAAAGTATAGGAACTAGAATGTTGGAATTTAGCATGCAGATTCTTAGGCTTCAAGCGCAGCTCATGTTTATTTCAGCAGGGTGCCACAAACACTAACGCCCATAACGCTAAAACCTGTCTAGCGCCCACTTTTTGAATATTTCAATAACTATTAAATTACTTTAAATGTTATAAGAAAATAAAGGGATTGCGTGCAATTGCAATTCGTCTAAAAAGACCAGAATTATGGGCAACAGCAGCTCTTTGTTTTTGCATCACGATAATGCAGCGGCTCACATTTCACTTCGTTACCATTTGGCTATTTGTAACTTTTAGCTATCCCCAAATCTCAAGATACAATTCCGGGGAACGCAAATCGAGTCGATTGAGGAGATAAAAATCGAAGGAGGCGATGAAAAGGGACTATTTGACATTTTTCGAGGATTGGAAAAATCGTTGGCATAAGTGTATTTTATCGGGAGAGGATTACTTTAAGGAGGATGAAATTGATTTAGATGAATAAATAAAGATTTTCATTTTAGAAACAAGTTCACCCTACCGTTTGCCCAAAACCAATTTTGCGTTTCCTCTTTTGCTCTTCTTATTCGCTGACCGCTTTGCAAAGAGGGAAGAAAATAAAAGTCTTTTTCATTTGTGTAAGTGTATATAACCTACTAGTTCTAAAGCTTAAAACTGAACAAGTAATAAACGGCCTGTGTGGTTGTGCCGCGCTAATAGAAATGCCCTTAAATTTTATTTTATTATACCCGTTACTCGTAGAGTAAAAGGGTATACTAGATTCGTCGGAAAGTATGTAACAGGCAGAAGGAAGCGTTTCCGACCCCACAAAGTATATATATTCTTGATCAGGATCACTAGCCGAGTCGATCTAGCCATGTCCGTCTGTCCGTCTGTCTGTCCGTCCGGATGAACGCTGAGATCTCGGAAACTATGGGAGCTAGGCTATTGAAATTCGGCGTGCAGATTACTGAGCTTCTTACGCAGCGCAAGTTTGTTTCAGCACAGTGCCACGCCCACTCTAACGCCCACAAACCGCCCAAAACTGTGGCTCCTACAGTTTTGATGCTAGAATAAAAATTTTAACTGAAATGTATTGTTCTCATCAATACCTATCGATTGACCCAAAAAAAAGTTTGCCACGCCCACTTTAACGCCCACAAACCGCGAAAACCTGTGACGCCCACAATTTTCATGCTAGATAAAAAATTTTAACTGAAATGTATTGGTCTCGTCGATACCTATCGATTGATCCAAAAAAAAATTTGCCACGCCCACTCTAACGCCCATAACGCTTAAATCTGTATACCGCCGGTAGGTGGCGCATTTTAATCTCGCTTTGCTGCTTGCATATCTCCATATAGCTGAGTAATATATATATAGCGTTCTTCCTTGTTTTAAATTTGAAACAGAACGACGGGTATCTGATTTTCGAAAAACTTGACTATTGCGTTTCTTCATGTTTTCTCTATTAACTTTGAATTAATTCTAACTCTTTGTCTCTCCACAGAGAATATAGGGTTACTAATAGTTTTAAATAATAAGGCCTATCTGTGTTAATATTAACGGGGCTATACCATATTTCCTTCTCTAATAAAACCACTCTTATCGCGAAGCTCGAAATAAACATCTTCTTAAATCAAATTTCCTTCTTCAGGCTCACTGTTACTATTTACCCCTTGACGAGTTCTTCCACGGCCTCATAATTTGCAGACAAATCGTCTAAACAAAGACTTTGTTTGTAACTGTCTAGCAATCCTTTCTCAAAGATGTCAGTAGAATTCTGATGCATCTTTTGGAATACGTTGTTTTGGAGGGAAGGTGTTTATATGAACGAACATATTGCTAGTTTCTAACAAGGCCAATCCCAGACAACAACAAAAGGCCTCCTGACCAGATATTTCTGCCGAATTAAACTTGTAACCAAGATACTTTAGCTTTTAACGAATGCTTGAATTGCATTAATTAGAAATAATATGTTTATAATAAATTGAATTTTTGGAAATGTTCTCTTCAGAAAATTCCTTGTAACTCAAGCTCACCTTGAGAAACAAAATTTTCAAGTATGACAAAATGACTAATCAAATCATTTCATCGAACGCAAAGTAAAAGACCACGAAATTTTAAAAGTTTTTGTTGTGAATTAAAAAGGTTGGTGTTCTTCAGGAAGTTTTTGAAAGTTTTCGTTGTAAATATGTGTGTTACATCCACAGTTACAAACTAATTAATGAAGACTATTAAACTGGATATACGTTCTTTATTGTTAAAGTTCACCTCTGCGGCGTGTTTCAGCTAAAACATACCGTAAATATGAGGTGAAGCTTTCTATTGAAACTCAACAGCCAATAAAATCCACAACATTTCTACTTTTCCATAATAATTGGGTCCTTCTGAGTAAAAGTGCCATATGAGAAAAAGTGTTCTTATGTGTCATCAACTACAGGTTCTGCAGTGTAGTTTGCTGACATTTTGAACTATATGGCCATATAATTGAACTCATCTTAAATATTTTTGCTGAAAAACGCTCTTAATAATGGCAACCTTTAGAATCCGAGTAATCGTCTTAGGAATATAAGATTTTTATTAAAGTCTATTGTGCCACAAAATAAGACTATAAAACATTTCCAAAACAAAGATGTACAACATGTTTACTCGCATTCTATAGGTCGCCATGACTTATTTTACACTTAACAACTCGTATAGAGTAGATAAGAAAACAACAAAAGTGGTAGTAGACAGAAGATTTGAAGACAAACACAAAATTTTTGGCAAACATTGGTCTTTGTATTCTTAGCTATAGCGCGGAACCTGTAGGTTATGGCACTTGTGTTTTTATTGGACATTTGTTTAGGAGGGCCCAATTACCATGGAAAAGTAGAAACAGTTTCTGAAAATTTCACATTATTAAATTTTGTGTTTTTAGATAATAGGTAGTAGCCCAATTAATTCCGAAGAGATCAGTTTCCTCCCTAAAGTTAAGAATTTCTCTATACCTATACTCAAAATATCTAGCACACGTCAGTGAGTCTGTCCTTATCAGGTGCATCTTTTCCCTAACGTGTTAGTTCAAAGTTTCTTCTTTATTTATATCAACCCCATCTATAATGCGCTTGAACACGACTATCAGCTCTGACCTACTAGTTTTAGCGGCCGACAGAGTTACAAAGCATGTTGGCAAATCAAAGCTATGAATTTATTTTTCTCTTTTTCCCAGTGCACTGTGGGCACTTTGACCTGTTTTTTTGGCATT